TAGTTTTTAGGGTAATATCAGTATATATTAATTAGCTAATTTGCATAATTAACTAATTTTCAGCTTTTGATATTTCAAGTAGTAATCATCACATTTCAATGACACTTGGTACATAGATGTCATAGGGCACTGCACAGACCTGGTAGTTTTTAGGGTAATATGAGTACATATTAATTACCTAATTTGCATAATCAATTAAATTTCAGCTTTTGATATTTCAAGTAGTAATCATCACATTTCAATGACACTTGGTACATAGATCTTCTAGGATTATGCAGAGACCTGATTAGTTTTAATTGGATATTAATTACCTAATTTGCATAATGTTCCACTGATATATAAAGAACCCAAATTGGATTTTAATGACACTTTTAAAGAGAACTATGCAGAAACCAAATTAGTTTTTGGTAAATATTTATGCTTATTAATCACCTAATTAATTAACACTGATATCTCAATAGACCATTTTCCGTACACTGCGAGAATCACGCATTATGCATGAAATCGAACGTAAAAACAGGACAAACAAAGGTCATAGCGTCGTAGTCGCGTGGGATTCGACAAACGCGAAAGTATTTCAGGGACACTTCCATGCTTAATAATGTGCTGTCCACATTTGATGATAGGCAATTTCGATTAAGTGAGGGTATTCGGAAGCAATATTCCTCTGTCGAAGATCGGCCGGTCAATGTAAGCTGCGAATTAAAGAAATTCTAGTTCAAAATCAAATCGTTCGATTTTTGCAGCAGACGTTTGACGCGCGTCTTTCATGCATCTCGCGAGATCTCGCAATTGTTCGGAAAATCACCTATTACTGATCATCACATATGAATAAAATTTGGTGCATAAATGCTCTAGGACAATAGACAGGCCTGATTAATTTTGGGTTAAAATTTGTTCATATTAATTTTCTAATTAGCATAATAATTCATAATTTCTTTGTTCTGTTCATATTAGTTACCTGATTTACATAATTAGTTTTCAGCTTTTCCACCAATATCTCATGTACAAGTAATTTTTAATTAATTTTTAATGTGTCTTCAATACTCTCAGCACACGGGAGTTCTTTCTAAGCTTTCTTCGATTTTATTTTCAAGTGTCCCTAACCATTGTTGATGAACCTCCAGATATATATACAAACATGAATATATTATAGACAATATGGTCATTTGGATTGAACATAAATAAACTTACATGATTTATTCATGTCAGTTTTTTATTTATGTTTTGTAAATTATAATGCATGTCCAGGAAATGATACAGGACAGAGTAAACCAGAATTAACAGTTCCCATGACTTTGAAAACACAACAAACAAACAAACTGAAACATGTAGGGTTACAAGAAGCTTTTAATTTAGATTCACTGTACAAGTAGGAAACAAAGCATTTCAAAAATCAAAAAAAAAAATATTTTGACCCAGTCTTAAAATAATCCTTGTAACAAAAAAAACCCAAATCTAAAAAGAAATTTTTCAATTTTGCTAACTCTGATGGACTTGATATTACTAAAATGTTTTTGCCCCATGCTGATTGATCACTCAACTATTATGCAAACTACCTGATTTCTACTGTAAAACGATTTTTAACTGATTTTTTTGACTTGTTGAAAAAAGAAAAGAACACTCCTTTCATGACATGTTTGTACAGCTCTTAAAGCTGAATTAATGTAACCAATACATTACAAAAAGCCATTACACTTTTCAAAATTACATTTTTGGTATAACTGAATAACTGTTATGGGTTAAAATGCCAATGCATTGTTCTAGGCAGTGTCAATAATTACTTGGGTCTAGTAATATACTGACATGGGAGTGGCTGAACCAACACATCAAGTAATCTACAATAATTATTGCATACAATTATACTCGACTCCATCGTACATATCCACCCATGCAAGTCAAAAAATACAATCTTGAAATCTGGGGAGTAAGAGGGGGTGTGAAACAGATCAGAAAACTGGTGTCAGAACAATATCGGCAACAAACCCAGACTATCAGCAAGCAGTAAAACACACGTGTCCCAATTAAATCTACACTACGACCGTGCAACGGCAAGTGTAGGTATGAACATCCACTGAAATACTATAATTGTAAATATTTACAAGATAACGGTAGTCAACTTAAAAAAATATATATATGCAAAGTACAAACTTACATGATATTCTGATCCAGTAAAAATGACTACACATTTTGAAATGAGTGTACATGACTTGTAAAGTGCATTTACAAAGCTGAATTCCAAAGTAATCAACATCAGACACCACGAAGTCATTCACACAATGCTCTACCGTGTTTGAAGTTTTACATGTGTATTTAATATTATGAAATCTGTTAAAAAACAAAAACATGACTGAACACTGGCTCTATGCGAAAAAAAAAAAATATCCACACAGTAACTAGAACAATTCCAACAATTTGTATCTCATTTACAACACTACACATACATCAAAGATATATTTTTCATATAATTATTTTAAAATAGATTCTTTTGTTATCAAAGCTATTATTTTCTGTACATTAATGCAATTACACACTGCCCCTCGGCAAATGCACCCTGTCACCCCCTGCCAAGAAATGTAATGGTTTTCATTCATGAAACTAAACATCAAGTAAATTTGACGAATCAAAATTTAAGTACTGCTTATTCCTTCTTGATTCAGTGCATAGAATGAAACAAACACAACTTTCCTTTTTTTCAGATTTGTTATATAAAGCAAGGGTTTTTGATAAGTCTGCGTAAACAGTAGAAACTGATTATAATTTCTATAATCTAAGATAAGAAAAAAAGGCCAAGGTAGGTGCAGGGTACAAAAAATATTTAGATTTTTATCATTAAAATCTAATCAAACAATTTAGTAAAGTTCTGCCTAATAAGTCAAACATATGACCAACATAGTTATAAACGTAAACCACAGCATTTGTTGACAGAGAAATCGTTGAGGGAGGCGACATACAATACATCACAACATTATTTCTCGTATGAATATAAGTGGAGTGACATATACGTAAAGAGGAAAGTGTTAATTTACATCACAAGTAAATTGCATGGTCCATATCTAATGTCTGAAGCAGAGGTATATAAAGCTACAAACACTGGAACAGGGATATCAGACATATGTTTAGGCAGAACTTACAAGTTACACCATTGGCTAAAATCTCAAGCAGCTGCGAGTTACTCATCAAACTGGAGAATTAAGTTTCTATCACTAACAGTTTTTTTTTTTTTTCACACAGTGATCATCATGTCACACTTGCAGTGTTCTTCCATTGTGTGTGAAATTCACAACACCAGTGATCTAGGTTTACACTGGTTCATATAACGATGTGCTTGCTCCGTCAGTAATTTTTGGTCCTCTGTCTTGCCACACGCAACAGTTTCCCAAGCCGCATCAAGCTGGATGTAAAAAAAACAAAAAAAACATAGAAATATTACAAGACTGTATAACTATTGCATACATTGATAAGTCTATGCATGCACATATGTGCAGAAATTACAGTGCAGAAAGTGAAAGGAGTGAAATATCACACAAGTGAAGACATTATCTGTCAAGGAAATGTTCCTTTTACTTTAACTAGGGAGGCATATTCTTTTAGTCATCGAGGTGGTATGATTTCAGCCAATCAACATCAGTATAGTGGTTCCCAGATTTATGTGTCGAGCAAGAGTGTTTAAACACAACATTAAAGTTAAACCTATAAACTGACGCCTGTAATGCCTTCAGGTGCATCATGCAGACGTGAAATCTACCATTCAATCACGTTAGAATTTTAATTTCCGGCAAGACAGGTAATTTTGTGTGTTATTTGTGACAAGCAGAACATGCGCACAAAAAAATCAATAAAGCATGCGTGATGGTCCAAGAAAGCCCATCACCCACCTGTGCAAGGGGTTTACAGGGAGTCTCCTGAAATCGCACATGTCTGTCTTCAGTCTTTAATTTCATCTTCTGTGATGCATTCGGTGAACCGGGCACCATGAAGGCTTTGTTGAAGGATGTGGAAGTGTAACAGGGCTGAGAACCATAGTTGGATGACATCAGCATAGAGCCATCACTTAGCAGGCTCTTGTTCTGGAAAATCGATCATTATGCAAATAAAAAAACTTTTTGTAAAAGCTGTTGAAAGGTAAAATGTGGCGGCAAGCAAGCAAAAAAAAAAAAAACAAGAAGCTAGAGTGCACATTAAATAGAGAAGGAAAAGAAGACAGCACACAAAATCAAGTGCAAGAAAAACTAAAAAGCAAAACTAACCAAGCTGTTGAACTCGTCTGTGAATACAGTGTCATCTTTGAAAAGCTGTCGCACTATAATTGAGCTATCTGAATCTAAATCTAAATAGGAATTCTGCTGCATAATATCAACAAAATAAAAAATAAAACAAAGTCAGTGTGCAAATGGATCTAAAGCAAAGATAATATATGCAGGTCAGAATAAGCATATTTTAATTAACGCGCATGACTTTACTGCAAAATGCCAAAAATCATGATAATAGGATTACAGAAAGTTAATATAACCTACTGCCTAACAAAGTTTTTAGGTAGCAGTGAAGGTAAGGACTATCATGCCACAAAGTTTCACATCTCTCGACTTCCAAAACTTATAACAAAGTGGTGAGTTTGAAATGACTGTGTGTGTGTGTGTGTGTGTGTGTGTATGAGTGTATTTGTGCATGTGTACGCAGACATACGGTACATACGAACGCTTGGACAGACGGATGGACAGACTTTGTACAAAATAACTGAAGGCAAGTGTCTGTGTATTGACATTTGTCATAGTTTAGTTAGCTGCTTCAAGTCAAACAACAAGATATTTTTGAGTATGGTAACCAAATATTATTTTTCAATGGAAAATCAACAATGAATACTAAATCTTAAACTAATCCCACAGTATTAAAGGTGACGTGGCAATCAGACAATGCTTTTGTCTTTCAACATAGAGCTCATTATTCACTTAAAATTACGTCAGCATCATAGGTTTAAGTTCGCATCATTCAAGACAAATATTCACTTACAGGTGTATCAGGCATCGACGCTGGCTCAGGGCTGAATAAAGGACTCCATTGATGACTCAGCGACTTCCTGGCTTTCTTTGACGGAGTGTCACCCTGGTGAATTGAAGGACATGCCGATATTATTATCTAAACCAGGAACAGTTAAATTGCTACATTTATCTGGGGACACATTTTAAATACATTGCTTGCTAATGTTAAACAATCATTCATATCGGCTATTTGCGGAGATTTTCAGCAGACTATCGAATGATTGGTTTTCTTATCCCAGAGTTAACACTGTACAGAGCAAAACAAAACTTACCCCATTCTCTAGTTTTATATGTTTCGATGGTGAACAGAAACTACTGATGTCACCTGCTATACCGGACGATAACTCGTCTTTCTGTATAATTTCACTTAGGTCCTCCAGATGACTTGGCGTCTGCGGCTGAAACGCAAGGACGCAGCAATTAATAAACTTAGATGAGGACAAAAAAAAAATCAACAAATCAATCCTGAAGCAGCATATTCAATTTTATATTTCACAAAAATAGGCATAAAACATCACTGTACATACCAACTGTTTCAATGGACCATTTTTCTTTTCCAATATCGCAAGCGCGTCTTTAAGTGGGGTTGGCGTCCTGGGCGTGGTATCCAGCAATGCACGTCGAATTCTAGGCGTTCTGAATACAGTCTCCCTGTGCAATAAAGGTGATGAAGTACATCAGAAATGCATGCATGAATGAGCGCAACATATAACTGAGTTACTTGAATGGAATATGGGAATAATTACTTCTGCAAAGCTAATGCTAAACAACATCAATATTGAAAACTTTATACATGATATAGAGAAGCACATGACGAGAAGAGGATCATCTTACTTGTTTTCTTTGTTTGCTGAAGTTTCATTTATTGGCATCGTTACAGGAGTAGATAATATATTATTGATATGGAGGTTAGATACTGGAGTGGAAGTTAGACTGATTCCTCGATCATTGGGCAAGCCAGGGCTGTTCAGGAACTACAATAGAAATAGACAGTAAAGTGAAAAGACAAGTCAGCACATGTCGTAAACTCATAGGTAAAAACGAAGCATACCGGTATGACACACAAAGGAAATGCAACACTTAGAAAGATGTTGTATACCTGAGATGGTGAGAATGGCAAAGGTTTAATTGGTGTGTTTTTAGGTGAGCAGGGAATAGTCTGTGGAAGGGGCTGCGGCTCGTCCTCATGTTCTTCTTTCATGTATGCTGTGTTGAGATGTTGATACCTGTCTGTCCTTTGTGTTATTGAATCGTCTAAATCTTGCATGTGTTGATGATGCTGAAGGCAATATTATTAAGGATGCAAACACATGGAGAAGTCTTATTTCCATTATAAAAAACCATCTAGTGGGCTGTACTAACATAACAAATTGAAATAACAAAGGTCCTAGCAAAAATTGCATCGAGAGAAATACAGAGAGAAAATAAATTATCAGAAATTGGATTAAATATTAAAATTATATTTGAAAAGGATACTCTTCTTTTTCGACTTCTTCTCAATATGCTTGGCGGTGAACTAAATCTAGATGTCACCGGTGATGTAATCGGTATTAGTGACCCTGAAACATCTTTCGATAGTGATGAGATGGCATGACTGTCAAAACGATAACCTAAGATTTGGAAAATTTTTAGGTTTAGCAAAAACAGAGTTGACATCAAAGATAGATACTTCATTTTTTTTAAAGTAATTTTTACTATCGACAGAACTACCATAGATTTGTCAGTGCATGATACCAAACCCTATTTCATTTCTTCTAATTTTTGTAATAGAAAACACAAGGATGAAAAGAGTTGTATAACTATATCGTACCTGTCACTCCTTTTCTTTGTAATTTTGTAAACTGCGTTGGTGTGGCTCCAGGATTTCTATCCGAAGTACCCGTCAACAATTCATATGTACTTAAATTAGATGCGTTGCCCTGCTCTAGAAGTTGGGTACTCTCTGGCATGTCAGGAATATTTGCACCTCTGAGATAAAAAATAAAACAAGAGAATAAGAAATGTTCACCACTTTATATACTATTACATGTGCCCCCGAAAATAACGTTGGTTTCTCTGCTCACCTAAACGGTGACAGATGATCTCCATCCATAACTATCCATCTCATTGGGCTCTCTCCTTCATTAACAACATGCTGGTTCTGCATTCTTGCCGGCTGGTAGTCTTTGCGTTTATTTTTCTCTGAAATAAACAAAAAATCTAAATTAAAGTACAAGTACTGTACATAAAATCAAATGTATAGAATTTACCATATTTGTCTAAATTCTTCTCTGATTATTAACAAATGTGAAAAGCTACACTAGCAAGGCAAGCATTTGTGGGCCCAGCTGAATAAAATTGTACGTACAAGTGAATAACTATGGAGTTATTTTTTTGAGCTTACCGTATCCATCTCTTGCATCATAGTGATCTGAATCATACTGGTAATACTGCGTGTTCTGTGAATGGTGAATCTGAAGTAGAAGAACACATAGCTAAGTAAATACAAACGTTACACCTGTATATATTGAAAGCATGTACATGTGTTAAGGGGGTGAGCGCTTAGCTCAGCAGCCCCACCCCCCCTCCTCTCGAAAAAATATCTAAATGACAATTTTAGTTCACAATGTGCCAGACTGACGAAAATGTGACACCACCACCCCCCCTTAGAAATGTGACAAAAGTGTGAGGTTAGTTGAGCAAGGTGCTAAAGCCAGACAAGTACAGTAAACCCAAGGTGCACACCATAATGATTACTGTAAAATGCTTATTTATTCACTGGGTTTTAATTTTGCTCATTTCGCTGCATGGAAAATGCACTAAATTAAAACCCAGTGAATATGTAAAATTTAGCATAGAACACATTATCTAGATGATAAAACCGTGAATATGAGTATGCCTGAATATGCTGAATGAGTGAAATTTAAACCCAGTGAAAATTACTCACTTTACAGTACCTAATGATATAAACTGAAAGTCTGAATCATAATCATGTGTCTATTGAGACATAAATTGAGAACTCAACACGCGGTAAACTCTGGTATATGCGAGGTGTGCACCATGTGTATAATACATTGTTTAATTGTGACACTTTCTATATTCCATCACCACCCACTGAAACAATGTTCATGCAAGGTTTATAAATGGAGATCTTCTTTTACATTTTTGTTATAAATTTTTAGGTTATACACATGCGCCTAATGGATATCACAGCAGTGAATGTATGCTACAATTATGAATATAAATTGTTTGTTTTGAGATTTCACCCACAAAAAGTCAAACTGGAAATACACGCGCACCACCAACAAATAAGAATCAATGACTGGTCAACTTACTTGAGCCATTAACAACAAAATTAGTTTATATATTTCATGTGAAAATAAGATCAAAAATTCACCTGATTATTATGCGACTGTAAAGAATTGTTGTTATTGAGATGTTGATATCTTGAATACTGCTCTTGATGGTGATGGTGGTGTTGAACTTGTTGTGGTTCAAAGTCAGGTTCATAATCATAGTCTTGGTAATCATGCTCGTGCTGTTGAAGCTTGTTGGGTTTTGGTGAGACATCACCAAATGGTTTCTCACCCGCTTCCACCTTCCTTCTCATGGTAGAATTCCAGTGGTTCTTGATGGCGTTATCAGTTCTGTTTTGAGACACATTAAAAGTTGTTAGTTATTATCCAGTTATCCATTGCGGAAAGAAAAAAAGAAGATCATGATCACAAAACTTACAAATGAAGGAGTTTACCGTAACTCCAGGCACTACAAAGTTGGAATATTATAAAACATACCTTCCGGGTAAAAGTTTAGCGATTTCCGCCCATCTGTTTCCAAGGCGTTTATGTGCTTCGTAAATGATACGGTCTTCCTCCTCACTCCAGGCACATTTCTTGATGTCTGGATTAAGGTGATTATGCCACCTGAAAAATAAAAAAATAAAATAAATAAAAACATTAGCGGTATATAGTTTTACTACACAAGAATGAATGATTTACAGTTTTAAGCACTTTCCACAAATATGGCCAAAACCTAAATTAAAAACTGTAAATGATAGGAAAAATTAAAAGTTGTCAAATCCTACCTTTCTCTGCACTGTTTTCCAATGCGTCCCCTTAAATGCTTGGCAATCAATGACCATCTTTTCGGCCCATATTTACTCACAAGTTCAATCACTTTTTCATCTTCCTGTATGTAGAATACAAAAAATATTTCATTGGTTTGCTTTGTTTTCAATAGTAGTTCAAATATGTTCAAGTGTTTTGCATTCACCTACTCATGTACCCACAGCTGCTAGGAAACAATAAACAGTATGTATGCAAATTAGGTGTAATGTACAGCGAAGCACTTTGAATATAAAGGGACCAGGTGGTCGTTCCAATCCAGACATTTCTGATGCCCATGTGAAGTTATCTGCATTTAGTTTTTACGGTAGATCAACAAAATTCACATTTTTCATATTTGTTAGCACAATGGACCTTTTTTTGCTCACTGAGAAATCATGCGCTATGAGTGAAATTGAACGTAAAAACAAACAATGGTCATAGCTTTGTAGTTAAATCAAATCATCTTGTGGGATTTGACAAATATGAAAGTAGTATTTCCGCATTTGATGGGAATAAATCTTGATGAAGTAAGGGTATCTTAACGCTATACATGTATTTCCTTCTAAAAAAATCAGCATTTTGTCATTGATCTCTTAAAAAAAAGGATATCAAATTTAAATTGCTTGATTTCTGTGGCTGTTGTTCAGTTCACAAATTCTACAAGATTTTGCAGTTATTAAACACATGCTGATTTAAAACATCATACCTCTTTCGTCCAGGGTCCTTTGATAAGCTCTGGATTAAGAACTTTCTGCCATCTATGTAAACACTGTACGTCAGTCCGGTCGCTGAAAAAACTAGCGATCAACTTCCAGTTGTCTGTGCCATTGGTATCTACATATTGCTTTAACCTCTCATCCTGTATAAAAGAATTAAGCAAAGAAATATAGACCATTTGTGGATCATGGAAGTTTGGCACTTTGATAAAAGAGCTATGAATTGAACTGTAGCGAAAAAAAGGTGTGAGACGTACTGTCTGGAATATTGTTTATTGTTTTACTTGTTACTTCAGTGAACACATCTAATCAGTTCACTGTTCAGTTCATAGCAAAAACAAATCCCATTCCATGACACTTATTGACAAATATAATAAACTCGTGAAAACTAAGGGTATCGTAAATAGCCAAGGTAAAAGGGAATCAATCAAACGCATGCTAGATATTGAACACAAAAATCAAAGTGTTTCTTTCAGTCTATTGGTATTATATTTTTTTATTTCCATCACTACATTGTTTTGGTCTTAGTTTTTTCTTTTCCTTAAACAACATTGTCCTCTTCAACATCTTTGTCCTCAGCTCTTGTCACGTTTTGTGAATTCAATAAAATTTTGTGCATTTCATGTATTAAAAATTATATTTACTACAACAAACTTCTTGTTTTTAATTCAAAATAATGTTTTTATTTAATTAAGAAAATACTTGGTGCGGTGATATTTTTAATATTGTGCACCAACTATCCGTTGAATCGCAAATGTCAAAATGTCATAGTATTCGGAACATGTCAGAGAAATAAGATCAACCCGAGGTTCAAAGTCGCCACTTATCCCCCTGGGGATCAAACAACGGTCCAGGATCAATAAGTTTGAGGGAAAACACTTTTTATACTGCTTAAAATTGTGAGTTTTTAATATTTGGGCCATTAAAAAAAAACGCGATCCAATATTTCATATTTTTTGGTCGGCTGCTGAGGGCAACAAAACAATTTTTTTTTTTGGCCTTATCTTAAAAGTTGAATATATTGTTATTTCAGTATCCGAATATCATCCAATGTGGTATGAATTTGTGAAAAACTTATGATTTTAAGATAAAAAATCTGGAAAAGATTTTTTCTTAGTAAGATCATTTTTATGGAATGGTTGTAGTGCTCTTGAATGTTGATCACTCTCACATAGTTATAGTTGTACAAATTCATAAATTTTTTTTTTATATTACTTAGCATTAATTATTGACAGAATGCTGAAGACCTTTCTTTGACATGTCAATTTCCAATAGACCTGTCTATTTTATTCTCACCTCCTCTTTTGTCCATCTTCCTTTGTTGATAAATTTTTTCTGAGGCCTCATTATAGGCATGTCATAATCATGATCGTACTGTTCGTATTCATCCCCGCTATCACTTTCACTGTCATAATAACTGAAAGGACAAAATGAGATAATAGTACAATGAAAAATATGCACACACCAGTGGCAATTTACCTACAATTGCAAGAAGGCAAATTGGGTGTGAGAAAGAGAGAAACATGTCTGATTGCAGAATCAATTACATAATAAAGGTCATCGTAATGAGACCTGGCGTGTATATAAGGTGACAGACAGACATGAAATCTTGAAATTCACACATTTTTTGACTACACAAAAAGACAGCTTTTCAGAAAGTTGTATGGATTATTTAATGGTGTAAATAGAGTGATTTAGTACCGGTAATCCTCAAGTAAACAAGACATTCCAGGTGATCACATGTTATCAGAAATTACTAGTATATTTTTAATTTTAACTAATTTGGCATAATTAAAAATTTTGGCATAATCACTTAGGGGTTTTACGAATAAAATGTTGCTGTAAAGTAAGTTCAACCATGGTCAACCCATAGTCAAAGCTCTATGTTATGTGTTTTTTGTCAGAAGTGTGTTCTATTTTGCACATACATCAATGCTGGAGAACAACTTAAAACTAGTTTTAAAAACTACAATTGTTTACAACAGCTGGCAATAAGCTTATAAAATGCAGAATATTTGCAGATGGCCCAATTTTCACACTCTCAAGG